AGCAAAAAAATTCCCCCCACCTTTAGTATGGGTTATTTTTCTTAGTCTTTTACAGTAGTGGTCCTATGCAATATTTCTCCTTTTGTGATGGACTAATTTCACGCAACATAATGTCCTCAATGTTCATCCATGTTATGCGATTGCCTGCAACTTCCTTGTTATTCTTCAAGATAGCGTAATATTCCATTGTGTGTATGTGTCACAGTTTGTTTATCCATTCTTCAGTTGATAAACACTTTGGCTGTCTCCATCTTTTTGCTATTTTAAATAGTGCTGCTATGAACATTGGTGTGCATATATCTACTCATGTTATGGATTGTATTTCTTGTGGGTAAATACCAAGTAGAGGACTTGCTGGATCATAAGGTATTTCTGTTTCCAAACTTCTGAAGAAGCACCATATTGCTTTCCAGAGAGGTTGGACCATTTTGCAATCCTACCAGCAATGCAGGAGCGTCACAGTCTCTCCATATCCCCACCAGCATTTACGTAGTGGTTATGAATCGGGCTGCGAACCGCAAGGTCAGCAGTTCGAAACTGCCAGCTGTTCCGTGGGAGAAAGATGAGGCTTTCTGCTTCCGTATAGATTTACAGCCTCGGAAACCCTGTACAGGGTCGCTATGAGTCGGAACTGACTCCACGGCACATAACAACACAACAACAACAACTTTTTTGATCTTTGTTGTTACTACTGGTGTGAGATGATATCTCATTTTTGCTTTGATTTGCATCAGTGGCTAGTGATCGTGAACATTTCTTCACATGTTTGTTGGCTGCCTGGATCTCCTCATTGGTGAAGTGTCTATTCATGTCCTGTGCCCATTTTTAAACTGGGTTATTTTTCTTTTTCTTGTAGAGGTGTTGTAGTGTCCTATATATTTTGAGAAATAAGTTCCTTGTCTGATGTGTCATTACAAAAGATTTTTTCCCATTCTCTGGGGTCCCTTTTCACTCTTCTGGTGAAGTCTTTTGATGCACATAAGTTTTTAATTTTCAGTATGTACCACTCATCTATTTTGTCTACTTTTGTTTGTGTAGTTTTCAAAATGTTTGGTAGTCTGTGTATTCCCTGAATTAGTGCCCTCACATTTGTCCCTATTTTTTCACTGATGGCCTTCATAATTTTGGGATTCACATTTGTGTCTGTAATCCATATTGAGTTGGTTTTTGTATAAAGGTGTGAGGTGAAGGTCTTGTTTCAATCTTTTGCATATCGCTTTCCAGTAGCACCATCTGTTGAAGAGACTATCACCTCCCCATGCGAGATATTTAGATGTTTGGTCAAAAATCAGTTGGCTGTATGTAAATGGGTTAATTTCTGGATTCTCGATGCTATTCTATTGTAGATAACCATATTTTAAGAATCCCCTCACCAGTTGATGGATATTTGGACTGTTTCCATTTATTATTATTATAAATAATGCTGCTATAAACATTTGCTCTCATGTCTTGGTGTAGACATATATTTTCACTTGTTTTTTTTGTCATGGAATTTAGAAACCAAGATCTGAGCATCGAATGTGATTATCGCTAATAGGCATTGTTGCTTGAAGGCCTCTTCGTAGATAGAGCTCAAAAATGTATATATAATCCCACACACATATATACATATGCACACTATATCTCTATTTATACAGTAAAACCTGTGAAAACACAAGTGAGAGGAAAGTGGTAAGACTTCACCCTGTCAAAGGTGGAAAACTGTGTATCTGCTGGGTTTGAGAACTCATTGCACTGGTGACACAGAACTTAACTATTCACAATTATGGGGTTAATTAGGATGGTTAACAGGGTGCAATTCAAGATCAGAAATGCTCAAGTCCTTCCAGTCAGGACAGCCTCTCCTAAACTGTGCCTGCTGGCATGCCTCTCTCTGCTCCTTGGCCTCTCAGTCACACTGCCACTGGCCTTTGTCCTGCTTGGACAATGTTACAGAGCTCTCTGAGCACTGCCAATAAATGTCCAAAAGGTGTGCCACTCTGCCAGGAGCCTCAGCCCAAAGGCACTCAGCTCTGGATCTTTGGGTTAGCAGCTTTAGCTCCCTAATCAAGTACCTGGAGTCACTCCACTCTGTAAGCAATGCGCTCAGCTTTACCCACCATGTGGGCCAGGAAGACCACCACTCTGTCTTGTGCTCTGGCTCTTGGTTCTGCTGCTGCTTGCTTCTCTGCCATTCCTCTGGTGTCA